TGAATCCTTTATAAGGGTAGTCTTATTGTAAAGTGGTACCAATTGATGTTATAGAGTTGAGTTACCATACAAAGCAGCTACTCTCACTGTGAAAGGTGAGCCTCATCATTATCACTGTGTGTGTTTGTGTTAACAGAACCAGAGCTGCAGCCTCACTGGTTTCCTCTCACACAGACCTCCTCTGTTCCTGCACACGGTCGCTCTTAAGACTCAATTCATCGGCTCATACAAAGACGTGTTTAGCTCTGCTCAGGCGCCCTGTGTATTATCTGCACTGCCGTCTGTGTCTGCGCTCTAACAACTTCCTCACTCAGGCTGCAGACATGTTGTTACAGACGGCGATGGAAAGAAACAAGGACTCCTTTGAAAGAGTGTGTGTGAAAACCAGTTTAAACACAGCGACACAGAAACAGAGATGTCTCCCAACTGACTTTATTCTCTTCACATGTTGGAACATTTACATGACACGATTTTACATCATTTACAAACAGAATCACATGCCTGCCATATTTTACCTTTTTGCCTTGCTGTGTGTTTTACAATTTACAATTTGATTTTTTGATTAAAAAAAGACATCTGCACTACATGACAGCACAAGCAGTCATCCTCTAACCGTATACAGGTGTAGGTGGAGTGTTTGTGGCTCAGCCGTGAGATGCTCCGGTGTGGTGAGTCGGACCTCACGAGGCGACAAAATCACTTCAGAGGCTCCTGCACAGATCCTGGAGAGGTCGAAGATAGTCGAGAAGAGATCTGACGCTGCTGTTTCCAACCTGAAACAAGGGAGAACATTTTGTTTATTTCCCTTGTGAATGCAAATACAATGTTCCACTTGCTCTTATTTTACACTTGATCACTTCTACTACTACTGACAATTTCTAGTTTTGTATTGGTTCCCAGTTAAATGTATACAAGCAAAACATCTATGCATGTTTGTCTATCACTCTCCTTGAGACCTCACTTTTTCATGGTATCTCTTACAGAATCTCTCTCTATCTTAAATTCTGTGTCTGCAGTATCACCTCAGTTCTGGAACCAGCTGATGAAGTAGGTGCAGACGCCGTGGAAGCTCTTCCAGCAATACTCGTTGGCGATGCGGGAGGATTTTGCGTCGGTCTGCTCTGTGGGACGGGTAGTGGTCTTCCCAGGCTTGGGGGCAGCTTTCTTGGGCTGGGATGGGCCCTTGCCTGGCTGGGGCTTAGCGGGCTGCTGATTGGGCTTGACTGATTTGGGAGTAGTGACTGGTTTGTTCGGGGTGGTGACTGGTTTGTTCGGGGTGGTGACTGATTTGTTCGGGGTGGTGACTGGTTTGTTCGGGGCGGGCACCACAGGCTTACGTGGCTCCTGCACAGGCTTGGAGGGCTTGGGTGTGGTGGTCTTGGGCCAGGAGGCCAGGAAGGTCATCTGGGCCTCTTCGGGGTATTTCTTGCACATCGCTGGGCGGTAGATTTTGGGTCCCTGGCAGGCGTGGCTAAGCTTCCTCATGTCCCACATCACCTGGGTGAAGAAGTGGCGAGGGTTGAGGTTGTAGGCGCGGCACAGGTTGGGTTTGCCCTGGAAGTCGCAGTAGTAGGAGCGTCCGGGGGTCTGACCCTGGCTCGGTCCTTTGCAGGAGACACGCAGGCGAGTATAGTCCCCGGCTCCAGACACCACCATGGTGCAGGTGTCCTTGCTCTTACTGGTGAACCTGATGGGCTCATCCCAGACGCTGCGTTGTTGCTGCTGCTGCTGTTGAAGCTGTTGCTGTTGCTGTTTCTCTTGCTGCTTATCTTGCTGCTTCTCCTGCTGCTGCTGCTGCTGCTGCTGCTGCTGCTGCTGCTGCTGCTTGACGTTGCTGCTGTTGTTGGTCTGAGCACTTGCCACCCAAACAGCGGCTGCCAGAAACAGCAGTGCAACTCTCATCCTGGCTCTCATGGCTGCGTTATGTGGGTTGATGGTGGATGGACGAAGGTATGGTGCCGCACTGAAGGTCGAGGTGTACAAGGGTAGGAAGCGTCTGCGAGGGACTTTATAGGGCTGAAGCTCACAAAGAAGGTATTATTCAGGTGTACTGAGGGACCCCTCCTCCTGCACTGAACCCCCTCACCAAAACCCACACTCACACATACACATACATGAAACCACATGAAGCTTGTGTGGTATTTTCAAAACTAAAAAAAATGATGGATGAGAGGGTAGAAGGAGGGGGGGAACATAAACCAAGGGGGGAGGAAAAGGGGTGAAGGGACGCGGTCACCAGGTCTGTATACGAGCAGCAGAGGGGTGGGGGGAGTAAAAGGCCGAAAGGACGTTACACAGCCAAACGTGTGTGCAAAAGGGTTTTGAGGCATTATATAAAGTTACATAAGAGGTTCTTTGACTATTGATGAGGGGGAGAGGGGGTGCAGAGGACTGAGCCTAAGTGCAACCAGAAGTTATTTGCTGGGGGTTTAAAGTTGATATGGGACTCCGTAATTATTAAAACCTTATCATGTTCATCTGCAACGGTTTTAGTTTGATACAGTCTTTGTTGTTGCAAGACCAACAGATCTAAACAAAGAGAGAGAGAGAGAGAGAGAGAGATAGGGCAACATTTACAAACTCCAGCCGTGCAGCCAAAAGGGCCAATTGAAGTCCGGCTGCATGTTGTAAAAACTGGTGCATGTAGGAGAGTTAGACTAAGAAGGTGTGAGAGGCTACTGTCAGACTGTGTGAAGAAGGAGATAGTTCTTACAATCTAAAGTTAAAAGTTTGAGTTATTCTGAATTTGATACACTCACTTGATCTGGTTTGAAGTGTAGCTTACAGTGGCTAATGTTGGCTAGCCTATAAAAAAAACCTTAGTTTTATAAATGTAAGCTATTGATTACTATAGCCTATGTTTCTCTAGCTACTGTGAGTCAATACGGTCTATATTTAAACATCGGTACAAAAATGTTTACTTTGAGAGCAGTGAAAAAAAACAACCTACAGCCCCCATTAAAAATGCCACAGTCGTGGTTACTAGCATCATTAGACATCCATGTCTTTATCGTGACTTGGTATTCGTTTTTTTGCAAACTATTTCCAGTGTTTATAAGCTATCTTTAGAAAAAAGGTGCTTATTTTTAGCTAACTTTTTCAACTAGTATATTTTATGTATCTCTCTGTACAGCACTTAGGTCTGGAGGTTTTAAAGTGCTAAAATTGGATTGGATTGGATTGGATTAGTATTCTGTTAGCTAACTACTTCAACTTTTTATCCATTACTTTTTACCGACTATTAGGAATGTTATCCATTACTTAGAGCTACTTATTTTAATAATTTATTCTGTATTTTTAGCAAAGTGTATTCAAATGTTTATCCAATACTTTTAGCTAACTAGTTGATTGTCCATAAATGTTAGCAAACTTTAGCTAACTTTCAGCTGTAAATCCATAACTTTTAGCTAACTATTACAACGGTTTACCCATTACTTCAATAAATAAATAACCATTATTTTCACTACTGTTAGCTTAGTGTTTTAACACTGCTCAACCATAACATTTAGCTAACTATTTTAACTGTTTATTCGGTACTTTAGGTTAAGTATTTAAACATTCATCCATTACTTTAGGCTATCTGTTTTCCCCATCAGGCTACTTATAGCTAACTATTTCAACAGTTTTGCATTAGCTCACTTTTAGCTAAATACTTTCAAATGTTTATCCATTTCTTTTAAATTACTGTTAGCTAACAATTTAACAGTTTTTTCAGCAGGCGGGATTTTCAGTCGATGTTGCTCTTGCGTCTGAGCAATAGGTTAGAGACAACATTCAACGAAACGCCAACATTTCTACAACCGAACGTCAGAATAGAGTCTGAGCTAAAGGCAAGGCAAGTTTATTTAGCACCTTTCAACACAAGGCAATTCAAAGTGCTTTACAAAAAATGAAAGACATTAAGCAAATGGCATTTAAAATCAGTCATTAAAAAGAAAAGCTAATAAAATAAACATTAAAAGAAAAAATACATGGATAAAAGTTACAGTGCAGTCTAAGATGTGAATAGTTCAATTAAAAGCAGCGACGAAAAGAAAAGTCTTCAGCCTGGATTTAAAAGTAGTAAGAGTTGCAGCGGACCTGCAGGTTTCTGGGAGTTTGTTCCAGATGTTTGGAGCATAATAACTGAACGCTGCTTCTCCATGTTTAGTTCTGACTCTGGGGACAGAAAGCTGACCAGTCCCTGAAGACCTAAGAGATCTGGATGGTTCATCATTTAGCAGGAGGTCAGAAATGCATTTTGGTCCTAAACCATTCAGTGCTTTATAAACCAGCAGCAGTATTTAGAAATGTATTCTTTGACACACAGGAAGCCAGTGTAAAGACTTCAGAACTGGACTGATCCACTTTCTTAGTGTCAGTGTGGACTCGAGCAGCAGCGTTCTGAATCAGCTGCAGCTTTCTAATAGATTTTTTAGTGAGACCTGTGAAGACACCATTGCAGTAGTCCAGTCTACTGAAGATAAAAGCATGGACAAGTTTTTCCAAATCCTGCTGTGACATTAGTCTTTTAATCCTATATTCTTTAGGTGATAGTAGGCTGATTTAGTAACTGTTTTAATGTGACTGTTGAAACTCAGGTCAGAGTCCATGACTCAGTCAGGCCCATCCAGTTTACTCATTGGCCCACCCTGAGAAAGCTTCGGTGTCATTTAAAAATCTTTTTTTTTTTAAATAATTTTATTATTATTCTAAAAAAATGTATTCACCCATTGAGAATATCCAAGAATTCAAAGTTAAATTCAAGTGAACAAATATCGAGTTTAATTAATGTTGTATGTGTTTTGTCCTCTGAACCCGAACTCATTTACGGTAAAAACTGATTGTTGGTTCCGGCGTGCGCTATAACAACGTGAGAGAGGGAGAGAGCTGCCTGCAAACTAAATGATGGCTCAAAGTTCACTAATGATGTTTTTAAAAAAGAAGCCAGACTCCAAGAAGAGCCCCCACTGCCCTAGCAGCGATCTATAAGATCATTTTCTGATAACGATGAAATAGCCCCTCCTCCCTCTCCCCACGTCTCCCTCTCCCCACCTCTCCTGCTGCTGGGCTGTCAGAAGAACAAAAATGTTAACGGAAACTGCCGCACGGTTCCCTCGTGCCTTGGAAGAGGCGGAGAGGTGGGTGTTTTTCATCTGCTGGTGGACAGTCCGGAGAGATATACACAAGGTTGGGTTGTAACGGAATACATATCTGTGAGCGAGAGAGAGATGCAGCGTGTCTGTGAGGCCCCGTCCCCGCACGCAGATGAGAGAGAGAGATCTGTTTTAAAATATATTGAAAGTTAGAAACGGAGATGGTTAGATAAAATGTGCAAGATAACGTTTATGTAGCATTTCTTTATTGTCGAAATGATGACATTTATAACGGGATAAAATCAAAGTGAATGGCCTGCTGCTGCTGAATGCCTGGGGCAAGTGACTGGAAAAAGTATTTAAAGTTATTACATCGTTTCAGATAATAATAATACATAATAATGATAATTTTTTCTATTTAGGGGGGCCTTTCAAAGCACCCAAGGAGACCTTACAATTAATAACATATTCTAAGGAAAGGTTTTAAGACAGTACAAAGAATGCAGTCCGGGTGATGTTTTTATGTGTGGTGCAGATGAGAGAGCTGTCCAGAATGACACCAAGATGTTGTGTTTGAG